AGTTGTTTGATGACATTGTGGCTGGTTAGGGGGAAGTGTGTGTGTGTGTGTGTCTGAGGAGGGGGCAGGCAGAATCAGTGCTTCAAGCAGAGGAATGGCAGATGTGATACAGGACAGCAAACGCCAAAAGTGCCAGATGAGCCAGATTTGACTGATGTACAGGGGCTGGAATGTGTCTGCCCATCACAAGGCCTGAGTATCCCAGTGGCTGTTAAGCCAACAACAGTGTTGTGTTGGCCAATATAAAATGGTACAATTAGGACAAATCCGTGTGCCTTCGCATGCCACATGTTCTGGTGTGGTGTCCCCAGAGGGACATAAACTTAGGAAGGGGAAGCAGATGGGTAGTGCAACATTTAAGAGTTAAAAAAGAATAAAGAAATCACTCCACCCACTGCCAACATCTGTGTAAATTGTAACACAGCCATTTGTACATGGCAAGTAGCAGGAGTGATCACCTGGGTGATGGAGAATAGGTAAATGGGCAAATGAGTAAGTTGGTTTGGTGGATCTGTTTTGTAGTTGGTTTTTGGCTGGGTGTAGGGGAGGGGGGTTTGAGGAGTGTTTGAAGCTGTAAGAACAGGGTAGAAAGTTCAGGACAGACTTATGCCAGAAAGTAGACCTTAAAGATGCTTGCTTTGGCATATTACCCCTGAAATATATGGTCAAACAGCTGGACACACTCGTTTCATGGGAAACCAGAATGTAGCCAATGGTGGCAGTCAGCCCAGTGCTTGCTTATGGACGGGTTCTTAGGTTTTACTGGGACTCCAGGGAGGTTTTTCTTTGTTGGAGGCAGTGAGAAGTACTGGCTGATGCTGGAGGTGAGACTAAGCTGTCTGAGCAGTGTGGTACAGTGCATTTCACATCACACCAGCTCTGGGCAGCAGGGGCACTACATCCACAGCTCCAGTTAGGTCAGCTCCAGAGAAACTGATGGCCAGCAGTGTTGTTTTAAATGCTTCTCCTTAGAAACTGTTAGGAGTGGTCCTTGCTTTCAGATCTATTTATAAACTGGAGTAATCTGGAGAGGTGCAATGTAGGAAACTAACTATACTTCCCATGCATTTTTTTAGGTCTCCTTTTTAATGAGTAGAAGAATGTTGTTAAAATGTGTATTTTCTGCAAGTCCTGGCTGAATTTAATTATGGCATCTAGATAATAGCATTATCAGGTTTTTTCCTCAGATTTTAACTTGAACAGGCTTCCTGAAATTTCCCCTGTGTTTGGGTTATGTGCTGATGTTGCACAACTGGCCCAAACCTACCAGTCTTCCACACTGCTTTCAAACTGGGACGTTTCTTTGGACTTGATATGGACTGGAGATCTGCCAGCTCAGGTTGATAGAAATCTATGTGACTTCAAGGCATTTGACCATGAAGAGGAAGAATGTTTCCTGAAATCAAGTGGCAGCAGGCATTCCTTGCTGAAGTTAGGACTCTTATGGACCATATCACTAGTCTGCCTATGGCTTCCCAAAGGAAAGAACCAAGTTTAAGAGGCGAAATTCTGACATCCTGAAACTGCTTCTCAAGCATTTCCCATTCTGTCTCATGACTTTTGCATAATTTATTTATGGTGACTGGATCTGAATGCCCCACTGGGAGTGGGGTCTCAGGAGGAGATGAAGATTCCAATGCAGATTAAGTATGTACTGATCCTGAAGGAAGTCCTCCTTCTCATATGGTTTCCAAAATAGACATTCATGTGAAAAATTTAAATGTGCAATGGCAATATTTACACTCTGAGCACTTGTGCAAGCAATTCCCATAAGCAGATTTCCTGTCATGTGTAGGTTGGCAGGTGCCTGGCATTTCCAAAGGAAAAGGACTTCATGCAAAGTTTTTTTGTCATGGGCATGGAGTGCAAGTGACTCAGTTCTGAACAAACTGTTCCAGTGAGGAACCCAAATTGGAGGATGCTGACTTTGATTTATAAGTGCAGAAACATGCGTGTTCTACCAGGGGGAGGGCAAATAGGATTTAATAAAACACCATTTTCTTTTCTTGTTAGGAAAAATACTAACACAGAAGGAAAATAAATCAACAAATAGCAGATACTCCTGCAAGTACAGTCTGCAGATTATTGATCTTTCCCAGCAGCAGTAGTTGGAATACCAACATTACCCAACTTTAAGTTATGTGCTTTATATGACTGTTTGTGGTGTGCTGCTTTAGGTACATGACTGTAGGATGCAATTTTTATGAGTGTACAGACTATCAGTCACAGTCTTCATTTCTCACCTGAAACGGCCATGGTAGCAGTTGAAACTCTCATCTTTTTGCTTTTTTTCCCCTTTTTTCTCCTATTCACAGAATATATCTCTTGTTCTCCTTCTAGGTCCCAAATTGAGAATTAACTATGCTCTGCTATCCAACCTCTTTTTAAATGCATCCTATTTTGACAAGAAAAGATGCTGAAAGCTATTCTTTCTGGAGAAACCATTTGGAAAGTTGCCATGCTCTGGCCAGACCCCAGCATCATCTCTCCCTGCCAGGCTGTAGTTTTCCCAGTAAAGCAGGGAGAGGACTAACTTGTTTCACAGAAGTCAGGCTGAATGTTTTGTATCTTCCTTTGAAGAAAGCTGCTGTGGAAGTGTGTATCTGCTTTTTGGCCAATGCCACTGGTGTTTCCTTTCTGGAGGGTCATGTCTGGCTTGTTTCTACATTACACCAACCATTGAAGAGGCTTCGTTTTCCATATGACCAAACACCTTATTTTAATAGTTGACTTCTGCCAAGTGTGCCTCTTAACCTCCCCTTGTCCTTTCATTACACTTTTAGCTTTCATATTCTGTCATTCTGAGACCTTGTTTTCTTTTTCTTTCCCTTTCTCTGTCGTCTTTCTTACTAGCTGTCTGCAGCATCCAGCCCTTCCAGTCAGAGTCCTCACAGAGCCTCAGGAAAGGATCCCTTTGCAGAGCTCTCTCTCCAGGATTTCTTGTAGAACAACTTAGGTATTGTCCATTATTCTGGGGAGATGCTGGTGTTTGTGATATGAAACAAAGTTCTAATTCAAGTTTTATTAACATGGCTAGAACTGTTTCTGAAGGAAATAAAACCAAATCTTGTTGAGTTGGAAGCATTGTGGAAGTGACTTGGAAACTCTTTGTGTTTAACTTCAGCAGTTTACAGGCTGATTGAGTGGTTTTGCCTCAGTCCATTGGAAATAGAACCAGCTGATGTGGTACTTGCTGCAGTTAGGGAGAAGGAACTGGTGCTACCTGGTATTTACCATCTCATCAGGAAAGTGTTCAGAGTTCCCCGTTAGCAGCAGAGCCCCGAGTGCTGCTGGCAGGGTGCTCGTGCGCTTCCCCATGGCTTGGCCAGAGAGTTCCCTTCATGCAGGAGGAGGTGCTTGTTTCACATGTGCCAGGGATCCATTTTGGTACAGAAGTGCAGTGGAGGACTTGTGTTGGTTTTGACCAGTCAGGGGCAGGTGGGAATTAAATAATAAAATGAGTGAAAACATCAAAAAGAAATTTGAGAATCTGTAGTATAAAGAGAGAGTAGGCTTATTGCACACAGCAGCTGCTTTTCTTTGTGCACTTCTCTGGTTCAACATGAAAAATGACCCTGAGTTCTCTTCATAATGGTGTTGGTCTGTGTTATGCTGCCGCTGGTGACAATATTGCATGGATAACTAGGTGGGTTTTATTTTTAATGAAGAGCTATTCCAAAGGCTGGTGTCGTTGGAAGAACATCCTGATGTCTTTTGGTTGTTTCCTGGCCCTGATTTTTTAAAAATATTTTATTTCTGTTCAAAACTTCAGATCATGGGGTAGCTTGGGCATCAGAAGAATGGAAATTTTTCAAGAAAAAAGGTTTAGAGTGAACTCCTACTTCTGTTGCATGTTAACCCCAGGGTTTTTCATCTTTCCAGATTCAGTTTATGTAACTGTGTTAGATGGAAGAGAAAGGAACGTTTCCAAAAAGATGTGCTCAGCAGAAAACTCCCAGGAAAAAAATGAACTTCAGTCCCTCAAACTCTCCTCTTCCATTAAGCGATGCAGTGAAATGATGAAGACCAATGAAGGAAGCTGGGACACCTCCACAAGAAGACATCAGTACACAACACAAAGCCAAGAATTGCCATGAATTGAGACCAAGACCTATTTTTGTCCTGGTGACTAACATGTCAATACTCTCAGCTTCTAATAATATCCTTAATTGGTAACGTACGCAGAGAAGCCTTTATTCTGGAAATTGATATTGGTGTTTGGAAATGCTGTCTGGATTGGAGATGTGTCCTTTACCGTAACTCAAAACAAGACTCTGGGCAGGGGAGGGTCGAATCCTAACTCTTAATTCTGCAGTTACCTTTTCAATCCTCACAAATGTAGGCACAGCAGTAATGGAAATTAACTTTTTTTAAAAATTATATATTCAGTTTGCAGTAGACATTCCTTATGTATTATTGTTTGTATTTATTTATGATTATCAATTTAACATTAATATTGTATCAAAAAAACCTCCTTATGAAAATGAGTATGGATGTATACAGTATGTCTGATTTTTATCCACAAAGAATGAATCTGATCCAGAATGCTTTTCAGCTGACATACAGAGCACTAAATATTTTAAAGGTCTGAATCTAATGAATTCTCAGTATATATGGGAATTAGGGAAGAGCTGTAAAACGCATTAATCCTTATAGTCAATTCTGTGCCTAGGATTTTGCAAGGGAACAGTTAACTGACTAGAAGAAGCACTACATTTTTAATTCAGCATTAGTGCATTGGGAAGGAACTTTATTGCTTTGTGCTTGGCATGTCATTATTTTTACATTTGACATTATAAGGCCTTTCCAAGATGAATGTGAGGAATTGCTTTCATTTTTAAGACTTTCCTTCTTTTCTGTAAAAAAAAAACCATAAATTGAGGTGTTGTGTGTTGGGGGGGAAAGCCTTTTCATTGGGCTCGTTCATGATCATGTACCTTTTAAAAGTAAAAAAAGGGAAGTAGCTTCCTTACATATGTCTAGTGGGTATTTAGTTCACAAGGAATTCAAGTAGCGCTGTTGATCGGTGCTTTGTGTAAATACACCATAACTTTTGGGTGGAGTGGGGCCTTCAGAAGGATAGTCAATGATACGAAAGCAATTCTGTACATGAATTAAGCATACTTGCTGCATTGTCTCTGCAGATTCTATTTTTGTTTAAAATATTAAAATGTATGTTAGCAAAAATGGGTGGATTTTCAAATAAAATGCAGCTTCCACAGAACTTTTGTTACGGTATGAAAGTCTGAGGTGCTTCTTTTCTTTTTGCTGCTTAAAATGTGCACTGATAATTGCGTTGTTTACTTAATAAAATACCAAATGTATTTCATACGTGCATATTGTATTGCAGGAAGTACAGACTCTGAACCTGTGGCTGACGTGATCCCTGCAGCCTCTTCCCTGGGCTGGTGTCACGGACAGCCTCAGTGGACACCTCAGTGACAGGGTGTCTCCTGCTTCCTGACCTAACATGATATTTCACCACCTTCTAGTTTTTCAAACTATTCATGGCAATAAACTTGTACTGTTCATAACTGACCAAGAAGCATAACTATGTCCCCAAAAATTGTTATTATCTTCCCTAATCTTACAGCAGAAGGTAGTGCTGGAAAAGCTATGAACAGTTTGCTGAGACCACCTTCTGTAATTAGACACAGGAAGAGTTGATAGAAGTGGAACTTTCCTCCTCACAACGACCTGAGGCTTGTCCTGGAGGCCAAGGTATCATAAACTGAGCAGTACAGGTCAGTAGATTTAAAATTTCTTTCTCAAAGCACGACTTTAAAAAACCCTGAACCCATTACAGAGTATGTAATACACACACCCAGATCTGGAGAGTTTCATACACGTTTACTAAAATTTTGCCTTCCTACCGCTGGGGCTTTCAGTGTGGCTCAGTTTTCTTGTGGTCAGAATATAAAAAAGGTGAATTGTTTGAGTTGGGTCTGTGACCTGTTACCTACCTCAGTAAGTACCAAGGTACAGATTGTTCAGACCTTGTGTGAAGAAGGTAGACCTTCATCTTCCTCCAGAGCCTGATGAGCTGGGTTATGATAAAACAGATGCTAATTTTCTTCTTAGGTCTCTGTTGCTCTCTGCAGAGTCTAACATGAGGCTTTTGGCTGAGGATAGATGTGTTCCTAGATCTCTTTGATCCCTTGGACTCTTTGTGTGGCTGTGGACTTGAGGCTGAAAATCATGAAAGTACCAAAGAATTGTGAACACCCAAACCCATGTCTTCTGCAGGGATGCTGAACTCCTGTTACCCTTTAGTGCTCACTCGTTGTTGCTCTGTGTTCCTTGAAAGAGCTGCTGTACAGATTAGGCCTTCTTGCTGAAGGCTTTGCTAAAAACCCTTGCTCTTTGGTTTACTCTTCAGAGACAAACTGGCTTGAGAATTTTCCTGAGTAGTAGGTTCTCATTTGCTTTGTTCCCAGTAAGTGTTTGCTTTCAGTGTCACTGAAATAGCACACTCAGCTTAATCTAAAAAGCACAGCACACAGACGTATTTTGTTTTTTAATTACTGGCACTTTTCGATAATAGGGGGTAGTGAAAACCTGGTTCTCTTCAGAATTGAGTTGAAAGGCTGTTTATTCTACAGGAGCAAACTGTGTAGAGAAGCTGCCTGCCCTTAGCAAGCAGAGGACCATGGAGTGCTTTGCTGGGGGGATGTGGTTCCTCTTGAAGCTTTGTGTAGGGAACTGCTGTGTCAGAATAACCACTTCTTTTTTTGTTTGTTTTTAGATCAGAATTTTATAATGAAAACAACTGGATTTACCTCTTGAGACAATTACTTTTGCCAGAACAAGAACTTGAACAGCTTCTGAGTTTTCCAACATCACTAATGTTGAGTCTTCATATGAAGACAGATCTGAATTCCTTTGCTGCTTTTCTTCTTTGTTTCAAAGTCACAAACTAAACTGAGATGGTACCTCAGGACATGTTTAAAGTCTGTCTTTGCATGACTTTTTGACATCAGAGGTTCCATTCAGCCAACTGCCAGAATAAGTCACAGACGTTCCCAGCTGCCAAACAGCCCTTCAGCAAGAACAAGGGACAGGGTGAAACCCTGCATCTTTCATTAGACAAAAAGTGCCCATTTCCAGAGCCTGACACAAATTTTGTAGCAACATAAATGAATTGCAACTTAAAGGCCATGACATAGTTGAGATAAAGATTGTGGCAGAGAAATTAGAATTAAGTGCTAAAATCACTGGGAAGGATAGTAAATGCTGATGGGAGCAGAAGATTGACAAGATAATGTGAGGGGCAGTGAAAAAATGTGCTGAATACAGACAAAAGAGCAGTGCTAATGGCAGCATATGTAAACTGAACAAGAGCTTGCTCCTTGGCCTGTTGTCAGTCTCTTGACTTGACCTTTGGAGCTCTCACACGACAGTGGAGAGAGCAGAAACAGGCTTGACATCTTCCACTGAGTTTGCCCAACAAGAAAAATCTGTGAGATGCTGCTGTTTGCCAAGTTCAATCTGGAGAGCAAAGGGACTTAGCTGATTGTTCAGCTGCATCCTGGCTGGATCAGGAGAATGAGTGGGGAGAAGAAAACCCTGGGCAGGTTCCCTGAAGGTGTAACATTGCTGCCACCTATTCAGCACCTTTTTGTATCAGAAGGTTGAGTAATACGGTGAGATGGCCTTCCCAAGATAACAGATCATTCTAGGAGCGAGTAAAACGCATTTAATTATTTTCTTCCAGTCTCTGATGATGAAATTTCCTGAAGCAAAGATCAAAAAGCCTTGGAACAAAAAGCCAACTTGCTTAAATTTCTATGTGAGGTGATAATGGGTAAAGAGGATGTGTTGGATGCAAGCACAGTGCTTTGGATATCCAGCAGCTGCAGTACACAAGGAGCACTGGGGTCTTGGGTTTATTTTCATAGCATGGATCTCTGCTTTGTTCTTGGCAGTAACTGCTGAACTTCCCTCTGCCAGCTACAGCAATTGCCCAAGTACTGGAGTTTTTTAGAAATGCAGTATTTGATACAATTTTAGCTTCTTGTTTTACTTTAATCACTAAGTGAGCAAAGATCCAGCACCAAGTTAAATCCTAGTTTTCAGCATGGCTCAATGTTCAGTTGTCAACATATGGCAACAGTTGTTGGCATCTTGTTGCCATGTCATGTCCTAAAACAATATGGTGTTTGTGGGAGACTGCAGAACATGAGCCCTGAAATGTAGTATTGCAAAAAAGATCCTTACTTTCAAAATCCAAGGAAAAGCCTTTTTTTGGAGGAACATCCAGCTGCAAAACATCAGTGGCTAAAGATGCTAACACCAATAGATTCTCTGTTCTCTGCTTGTCACTATAGTGTAGCTTTTCAGTCCATTACCTTCTGCCTTGACCTTATTCTGGCAAACTCCTTTTAGCCCACGGAAGCAGAGTGTTTAATAACTTCTCTCAGAAAGCAGCCAAACAAGTACAAATGCTGCAGAATGAGTCTCTTAAACCCTCCTTTCACAAAACGTGCAGGTCTGAACCTGTGCAAAGAGTGCCTTGTTATATAACCTCGCTGCAGTGGAGGCTGCAAACCTCATAAAAACCAGACCAAAAGTGAAATCACCCATGTTCCCTGCAGCTCAGGCTGGGGGAGATCACACCAGCACAGCCAGACTATAAAGCACTACAGGCCAGTTGTTCAGAGAGGGTTCAAGCCAGCAGAGTGCTGAGGTAAGCAGCTCCTTTCATCACTGGAGTGGATACAGGCTCTCAGCACACCTCTCCCCATTGTGCTTTTTAGACATTCCATGGATTGATGTTTCTCACTTCCAGCTCATGGACCTCAGTTCTATTAAAGTAGTTTTTATTTCCATGCAAATTGAGTGATGCTTATATTTCTTTAATTTTGAATTCCAAGGAATACTTGTTGGGTTTTTTCTTCCTGTTGAAACTGCAAATTTGTTTGAGCTTTGTTCTACTTAAACACACACCTCCACGTCAGCTGAAGCTTAGATTGGATTATAATTGTGGAGACCGGGACCCCTGCTTGCATCCTAGAGCTCTCTTGTGCAACAGTAACACAGTAAAGAAAAGCTATTTTATAATGCTGGGAATACAAGGGTGACTCCTATAAGTTTGGTACTGACTGGAGTAGTGAACTTCAAGTGGGGCTTGGAAGCACTGGCTGTGCTGCCAGAAAGTGACTGATCTGCCCCCTGTTTTACATCACGCTGCTCATTTCTCAGAGATTTTGCTAGTAACGAATTTATCAAATCCAGATGCCTTGGGCTGAAGACCCAGCTTTCTCCATATGAAAGCCCTGCAGTGGCCTTAATGCTAATCCTGTAGAAATCAAGGGGATTTGGGACACTTCACTAAATATGTTTTGCTGAAGGCTGTTGCTTCTGGCTTGTGCAGGCTGCCTGTGGCTTGAACCCTAATTAGCATGTTTGGGATTTCTTTTTAACTCCCTCTCACCCACACAGGCTTTTATGGGAAAAGGCTAAACTGACTGGAGGAGGCAAGGGGTCTTTTTTCCAAGGTGCAGGTTGATGTCTTGCCATATGTCCTGCACATGGTGCTATGCGTTATGGGCATAAGCCAAGAGAAGCCTAGAGATGGGCCCTACATTTACACCACCAGAAAACGTAAATCCCCTCTGGGAGTGGTGGGAAGGAGGAGAGGCCTTTCTTTGACAGAAAAGCCATTCAGCATAAGCCACATTATAATTCTGCATCTAAAGGAGAGGCTAAACTAATCACTGAGCAGAACTAATCTCTCTTTCAAGTCAGCCATTTCATGGGGCTTGCGCTGCACTCAAAGCAAGGCAGGGGAGCTGAGGGGAGGTGTCTGTGGGGCTGCAGACACAGCCCAAGTGCAGATCCCCATTCCATGGACACACAAGGGATAGGAATCACCTCAGCCTTCACAGTCACTCCACTGGGTTACAGCAGGGGCACCTCCAAACTCGCTTTACTGTTCACCACGTGGCAGAGAAGTGAGAGTCCGTGTGAGCTGGAGTCTGCCACCTTTACCTGTCTGCTTGTGATCCCCGCCCCGGAGGAGCTTGGTCGGTGGAGCCCAGAGACCAGTGGGACTCACCTACAGCCCAAGGAGACACCTGCTGGCCAGGAACAGCTGAGCGGGCCTGGAAAACCAGGAGTGCTTGCACTGAAGTACAGATACACTGAGATACTGCACAGAGATACAGGTTGTTTAAAAAGTAAGTTTTTTAAAAAGCTTTATTCCAAACAGCTGATTATCCTCTCAAGGGTTAAAATTCAATGCTGCCACAAGTTTCTAATGAGGAAATGCATGGGTCAGAGCCTACATGTGGGAAGGACCTGTTGTGTGCTGCTGAGAGGGTGTCCAGAGGGAGCCCCTCCACTGCATCAATGCACTGAGATAAATGGTCAAAGGGACCAGCCACAAACCAAGGATAAGGGCTTACACAATATATTTAGCCAAAATATTTCAGACCTTAGAGATTTTTATGCTGGTTTTAAATTGTTTTTAAATTAATTTATATTTATTTCAGTGTATTTAAGTGGGGGTCTTGTGGAGACAGATAAAAAAGCATTCAGACACTCCATTTATAGCAATGGTTGAGTTATGCTTGCAAAAATTAATTCTGCTTTAGAAGAGCATTATGTATTTTGTAACAATTCTGTGTTTTATGGCAGCCTGCATTTACCTATTCATTGTCTGATCAAGGAGGAATTCCACATCTCCAAGTGGAGACCACACAAACTAAATATTAGCTCAGACCTTTTAGCAGATATATGTGCTATGTGGACTGAATACCCCAGAGAGTGCACAAGACCTCTCTCAGTGGTACGGAAAGGAACGTTTCAATTAGCCTCTGCACACAGACACACCTCTCATGAAACTTATATTCATGATTCAGGCACTCTAAAATAGTTTCCTCAAAGCCCCATGCCACACAGAAGAGATCAAATATTTAATGAACTAAAAATGTTACATTTCTGTGTAAACAGCACAGCTTGTCTAGTTTTCATCATTTTCCTTAAATAAGGCCTGGATCATCTTAGCTGTGATACGCCCATCTGATTTACCAACAGTACGCCCTTCTCTGTGGCTCCCGCTTGGCATTTCTTCTGTTTCCTTACAAGTAAGCACAGCTTTTCCAACCAAAAGCAGCTTTCTCTTCAGAGGTCCCAGTTTTGAGTATGCCTTAAGAAGAAAGAATATGGTTCCTTTGTAATTTCATAGAAAAGCAACCATTCTTAAGAAAAAAAAAAAACCACAAAACAACAAAACCAGAAACTTTTATTTTTGAAGCAACTGTAGAGGTGCTGCTCTGGGGCTGTGCTTGATAATGTCAGTGATAATGGGCTTCTTTTGCAAGCCAACTCATTTTAGGAGGCTACAGCCCTGCTGCCCTCTTCTCTGTGTTTTCACCAGTATCACCTTCTCTATAAAGCAAATTCTAATCTCAAATTCAGTTCTGTGAGAAGAATTAAACCAATGCAACAGCTCGCTCCTTCCAAAAAGAGAGAGGTCCAAGCCCAGCCATGTGCTTCAGCCACATCTGCACTGGCTCTGGTCTTCTCCAACCTCTGAGTCTACTCGGTTGACCAACCCAACAGAAACTAATTCAGGGGGAGAAAGAAAGGAAAACTTTTCTGCTGGGCTAGAGTCCATCAGCTGCAGCAAAGACCAATGTGCACTGTTGCCTCAACCCTGAAGTCTGCACCCAGGAACACCTTCATCCTGGCTTTCTGTTGAAGGAATCTTGATCCTTTAATGCTGCTGTGCAACACAGACTCTAAAGGACCTGTTCATTGCCATCCAAGCCTCGTAATCTCTCATTAGGTGACATTCAGAATTCTTTCTAGGGGAATTTCGTCCTGACACTCCATGGGATGATTCTCAGGACATCATTCAATGGCCAAAACACATGCCTCATGGTATCAGAGATGCCTGAAGGCATCCAAAACTTCAATGTGCTCTTTTGGCCCAGCATCTGAAGGGCATGGACCTAACTGTCCCAAATATCACCAGAAGGCTACAATCCATCTGAACAGCCCAGCAGGTAAAGGACATTGGATGCCATAACCACTGGAAATAGAAGGGTCCTGACAGTAGCTCATGCTCCACACTGAAAGTGTTAAAGTGTGTTTGTGTCAGTGGAAGACCTGATAACTCTGGCTCATACCTGGAACTCCTCTTCTTCATCCAACAAGCTGTCCAGGGATGGAGTGAAGAATTTTTTCCTCAATTTTTCATCACTGTCTGGAGGCTTCTTATAATCTCTTTTAGAACGAATCTTTGGAAGGGCACTTCTGAGGCTCTTTCCATCTGTCTTTGCTTTTCAAAGAGAAGAAAAAGGAAGTGTATGTAATAGTTAAGCCTTATGGAAGTCAGAATCAGTACCTGATATGAGCATTGCCTGCAATCTTTAATATGGCTTAGCCCCTGCAATGCAAAGAACAGCTTGGTAGCATTTTTAATTAGCAAATTAATTAGCAATTCAAGCCAAATGCTCATTTACACTGGGGTTTTTTATGTGTTTTTTGTTCACAATTTCTGATCAAGACCCAGGGACTGAAATTGATTGGAAGTTAGAACTAATGGATCTGTAGGAGGGGGCAGGGAAAAAAATGAGCTTTTGTCAGTTCAGCTTAAATCCTGTAGAGCCCTGAATACTTAAAAAGAATAAGACAGGCAGCAAAACCAAGTATAAATTTCTTCTATGCCCATGTTTGTGTATCTATAGGTACATAACTACAAGTTCCTGAAACACAGTCTACTTATAACTCCCCTAAAGAGATCACATCTGTAGTTAACTTATTCTCAAGATGATACAGAGGTTTCTGAACACGGACTGCCAAGTTACAGGTTTGCCTGTGACTGTGACCCAGCTTCTTGAAACAAAGCCTTATCCTCCAGGTAACTATTGCAAAAGTCTAACAAATGTGTTCAAAGTAAACATGTGTTTAATACAGAAGTTTTGGTCAACATGTTCGCTGGTGCCTGATGTTTCAAAAGGCCCACCTATGGCTGGGACTGATCAGAACTTCAACAAACTTCTTCATGTATCCATAACTGTATGATTTCCATTTTTCTAACATATCTCTTTAATTTTAATTAAAGAGATATGTTAGAATTATCTTCTACTTTTTTCCATCCTCTTTTTTCTACTCACACAAAGATGTAAAATAAAATTTGTGATACTTAGGAACCCACAGAGTCTGCCCTAAACAGATAAGCACAGGCTCCTGCTCCTTCTTGCTTAACAGTATATCCTTTCCCTGGCCACACCTACCAGAAGGGATGGAGATTCAGCCCAAAATTCAGTACTGCTTACCAAAATTTTCAGTTCAGGTTGAGCTCCATGTAGCTTCATCTCCTCTTGCTAGGGATTTAGTTATAATTGAGCTCTGGTGTATTAGATTAATGACTGCAAAGTGCATGCACACTTAAAGTGAAAGCCTACATGGAGTTTAAGAGTGTCCTCACAGGGACAAGCTATAATGAAGTTATGATATGGATAAGTAAAGAACTGATTAGGATACGATTCATATCTTCATAAAAGATGGCCAATCCTGTAAACTATATTCCAGGGTAGCTCTGGAGGAGTAATAATATTCCACAATCTAAAACCAATTTAAATTTAAAAACTGTATTACAGATAGATTGTGATTTTGTCTACTTATGCAAATTACAATCTATTATGGCTGTGGTGGCTGCAATCAAGAGGGAAATAAGGTGTTCTCCATGTCAAACAGGTAGTTTGAATAAAAAGTTTCAGAAATAAAAAGTCTGTGCATGTTCAGTAACTTAGTATTTCTTATAAGCTGCTGTCATTTGCATTACCTGCATATTTTCTGGTTTCCCTTTTCATTTCATCCTTAGGAAGTTCTTGCAAGCCAGTTTCCTTTGTATGAAACAACTGCCTATGGAGTAAAAAAATATAAAGTGAAATCCATAATAGGGGTCTAATTTTTTCTCTAATCTGTACTGTGCAGTGATTTGTAGTGAGGGGGAGGCCACCCTTTCTGAGAGCCGCTGCTGCTTAACCACAGAGGCAGAATCGCGCAATGGTTCAAAAATGCAATGGAGGCAGCCAGGTAGCTTAGTGGCTAATAAGCTGCTCTTTTTTATTCTTAGTGCCTTAGTTCAACTATGTCCATGAGACTAAAAGAAAACAAATGTTATAGTCTCTAGTCAGTCCAAGATTCAGACCACAGCTGGCAGCTCTCACTTCAAAGAAATCCAAAGTTTGGAAAGGAGAGAAAAATGGTCACTTCTTAAGACTTGAACTTTTTGTGCAATATGGCTAAAATCACTGAGCTGGGACTGGAAACTGAAGATGGATCTCTCACATTGTTGCATTGTGCTTTTGACACCATTAGTGTTGACATTTTGTAGCTAAATTAATCTTTCTCCAGGGAAAAAGTTAAATCATTTCAACACAAAAGAAGCTAATACTGCAGACACCTCTGCAGACAGACATTTCCCAAGGTCTCTTCCTCTCTCAGTGTCAGGTCATTTGTTTCACTCAAGATTGCAAACCCCCTATATATTTGCAAATTAATCTTCACATCCTTAAACATTTTGCAAACAGTAAAGAAAAAAATCTGTTATTCAGCACTTAGTCTGAAAAGCTGGGGCTGAGATCATTAATTGCAACACAAAGAAATTATTTCCAAGCTTAAGTGATATAAAGTGAGTAGTGTTAGATCTTAGTAGATTAATTAAGGACCCAATTTCTTCTCTGAAATTCAGTACTTGAGGAATCACAATCTTATTGTCATCCTTCAGAGATACTGCTCCCATGTATACTCAGTCAAATCCTGTCTTTCCTCAACTAGGAGACTACCTTGGCTTTGATGTGGGAGAGCCTAAATAGCTCTAGAGGCAGACAGGAGCATTATTTAAAAAACAAAAAAAAAATCACTTTTGAGTCCATGAAAGCATTATTTTACCCTGATACTCTTAGATGCTGAAGTTTGATATCAATCAGTTTTGCCACCAAACTGGTATTTTCTTCTTCCAGGAGCTGGACAGAAGCTTTCAAATCCTTTTCTTCCTTTCGGTAGATCTGAACCTTTTGACAATTAAAAAAAGAAAAAAAGAAAGTCTTAGAATTTCGTAAAGCTTTGATAGCAACAACCTTACCAGCACACACCTAGGAAAAATGCAGCTCTATCAGCAAGATTGCATATTTGGTGGGGAAACATAGTGACACATCGTCAGACAAAAGGAAGGACTGGCTGGTTCTTTCACACCTTTATTAGAACCCTGTTACTGTCACAGCACATGTATGTCAATCACAGCCACACATTTGGGCTATGCAACCCTGACAGCAAAATCTTCTTGTACAGTCAAACACGTCTGCTAGACAGGGGCTCTAGATTTTTCTTTTTTGCTTTCACATCAGAGTTTTGAGAGAGGAAAAGCTTCTTTGCAGAGGTAAAGTCAGGGTCTTACTCAGCAAGTGTTGTTTTTCTAGTTCCTTCCTATACCTGAACCCTTCTTACCTAAAATTAGTGAAGTTCTCAGTCCAAGTTACCACAGTATTTCTTCCCTCAGAGGGTGGTGGTAGGGCTCTGTCACAGCCCCAAGGCTGACAGAGCTCAAGGAGCATTTGGACAATGCCCTCAGTGGGGCTTTCTAGGAGCAGGAGTTGGACTCAATGATCCTTGTGGGCCCCTTCCAGCTCAGGATGTTCTACGGCTCTGTGACATTGGCTGAGCCCCAGGTACTATTTGCTTTCAGACTGGCAATTGCCCCTTATCAGTGTGGAGATATACTGACCAAAGGATGCTGGTTATTCAGTTCCCACAATGCCTCCCACTTTTGCAGAAGTACCAGCAAGTGCTTACTGCCTTACTGGGAAAGGGAATATACTATGGGAAAGATCTTCCCAGAAAGCTTAGCCATATTGCATGTGTTCAAGAGAAGTACCAAGCGATCTGAAAGCGTCCATTCTCATCAAAACCAAATTAACCCAGCTATAATCATCCAAATTTGCAGTTAAAACTAGTTCCAACTTCTCCCAAGGATTAAAAAGGTGAAAATGACTGGAAATTAACCAGTAACAGGATGTGGCTTGGCACAGTGAGGTGCTGCAGCTTTGCACCATCTTGGTGTGACAGAGTAACCATGGAAAAATGTGACTGAAGTCTCCAAATCTGTTTTAATTTTGGAGGTAACTAATCTAGAGCTATTTTGGTAAGTCATTTTTCAGTTCAGTGGCCAAACTTAAATAAAAAAAAGAACTGAGACAAAACTAAAATTTCTGGTTTATCACCCCCAAAGGAAATACTGAAACAGTCTGTCAGCTACATATAAACATTAGTCTGAGAGAAAATATTTCATCCATGTAAGAAAAGCAGAGAAAATGAATGGATGAATTCAGAGGACCGGAGAAGTTAGTGATAATAGTTTTGTTTTCCCCCAAAATTCAAAGCAGTAATTCATAACATAGGAAAGTAGCAACATAGGAAAGTAACTCATAACATAGGAAACTTCTGCTTGAGAAGAAAGAAATCCAAATCCCTCAGCTCTGAGGTGAAGGCCTTTTAGGACATAAGAGTACTCCAAAGTGCTCTCATTGGCACTGCTAATGTGTGTAAAACCTGTAAGTGTTCAGTGACACAGGGAGAAGGGAAGAGAATTCATACTCATGCAGTGATGGGATGTGTAGATTTGAGCTCCTGTTTGTTTATACAGAATAAAACATTAATTCTTTCCCATTTCTTTTCCTTACCCTCATTGCTTCAGAAGTTGTGGTTTGGACACTCTCCATGGAAAGTTAAAGATGCATGCTCAGAGCTCATTAAGGGGAAGAAGGAAAGCTGTGTCCCTGCATACTGGCAAGTACCTTAAATTAGTAACGAAAATGAAAAACCTCTGCCAGGTTTGTTGATGTGGCATGGAAAAGTAAGAAGTACATTTATTAACTTTTCCAAAAAGTTTTGCTCGCTTCTCAACTGTGAGGCTGTAAAAGTGAGGAAAGGCATTTCACTCACCAATCTCATGCTTAGATTTGATTGAAACAAAGAACCTATATTGACTGGAATAAAAAAAAAATCAAACTTTCACTATGGAAAAAATTATTTTCCTAAATCTGGCACACAAAAATATTTTCTTGTCAAGAAAATTACAGCTATCTAATATAGAGCTCTAAATTGTCATTAAAGGTCAGTATAAAAGCTATCAAGCAATTAATTACAGCCATATTTGATTTTGATTTTCCTTTCTTCAGTGTAGAGTCCCTATGGTTTCTTTATGACCTTCCATTTCCTGTCGTCTCAAGCCATTTCTCAGAACATATTTCCAACATCCATATCCATTTTCTTTCAATACAGCAGCACTGGAACTTTAATGCAATTCAAACCTCCCCTCTTCAGCTACTTACCTGGTTAATCCTTTATAGCATCCCAGTCTCCACAGATAAAGATCCTTAATTGTATGGAACATTGTAGTCCTTCATGTAACAGCTTGGGCAGGAAAGGGGGTCCTCCATTTGTGAAAGCAGATGTTCACCTCTTACCTTTATTCACCACATTGCACTGCTTTCTGCTGAGGATTACAGATTAATTACTGGAAAACTGCTCTCCTTTGCCAAAAGAAGTCTCCCAGGCCCATGACTGGAAACAGTTCTCACCATAGGCCACATTATTTCAAACATGAAGTGCCATGATAAACTGCAGGCAAGCAATCCTCTTACCTCTTCTTTTAGCCACTCGTTCTCTTCAATCTCTCTGCGACAGTTCTTGTCTAAGTACCCCACAGCGTTCTGAGAAAACACAAGTTAAAATAATCCCATCGGAGAGCAACACTTCGACAGTCCTGCACACTATAAAGAAAAACTGGCTGCTCTTTAGCAGGAAATAATTAAGACACATCTACACAACAGACTGTAGCATCCTCTGAGGGATTACAAGGGGATTTACTTCACAAGGCCAGATGTTTCTCCTCTATCATTCTGCCTAGAGCAGATTATATGTCAAGCAATTTACCAATATTTTTTGATTTCCCATATTAAAATAGGACATTTCCCTTTCTGCCTAATAAATTCTTCTGTGTACCACTACTGCTCAAGTCTTACTGCTTTCAGAAAATCAAACATTCAGCTATTAAGAATCCCAAGTAAAATCCCAAATGAGGCAGTACTGCTCTACAACAAGTGACCTAAGCATGTAGAGGTCTGACCCCAGGCTACAATTTAATTATTGATGTCAGTAAAGTGGAAAGGAAGAAGTGAGGGGGAAGATGCCCCAACAGATCACCATAAACACAGTCCTCTGGATTATGTTCTCACATGACTGGAAATTCCAGCACTGAAGTCAGGGAATTTAAAAACCTAATGGGCTTAGTGGTTTATACTGAAGTATACTTTGCATTTTGTGAAAATAAGAAGTTGTCACTAGAACTATTGGTAAACCATGTTTTCAAATCAGAGCTGGCAGAGATTACAAAATCATAGTGAATCAATAAACCTATATTTTCCTGAGACTGCACTATTGTGACATTTAAAAAATGTTGTACTTTACAAGTACAGTGAAACCCTTTTTTTTCAAATTGATGTATATTTTCATGCAATCTATTGGTGTATTACTGCTTTTGGAAATCTGTGTAAATGTCAAAATCAAGGCCATGAGAAAAGCAACATGTTCTCAAACAAGCCTTGTCAGTGCATGGTGCCCCAGTTTCCTGTGCATTGTTTGTAAAATGCCCTCACATCTACCCATTGTTATTCTGGTGGAAAGAAAAAAAAATGTACAAGTATGTATAGCAGTAACCAAATCCATATGTAGCAGGATTTGCAGGTTATTTTACTCTCAATTTATTAAAAAAGTCTGAAGTCTTAACATGAGTTAAAATAATTAATAATGCAGAGTACATGTATCCCAACCGTAACACAGTTAGGAGTTTTTTAAAAAAGCAAAAAGAATACCTTAAGAGCTTCTTCACTGAGTAATTTCATGTGCCTGTCAAACATTTTCTGATTTTCCTCTCTCACAACTTCCAGAGCTTTGCTATAATATTCTTCAAAACAAAAAACCAGGGAAATCAGAAATCATTATTTGCCATCAATTTTTCCTGATAACATATAGAAAAATGTTATAGAAAAATGACATGTCATTACTAAACTGTAACTTATCAGTGAGTGTCACCTGGGCAGATACTCCACAGAGAAGGATTCAAATATCCTTCTCTTAAGAAATTCTCCTTCCAAACCCAAACAACAGTAGTGTTAACTACAAAACTAGAAATTGGAAGTGGAACAGAAATTACACACTTCTGTTCATAACTGCAAGAGCTGAGCAATTCACTGCTAACTGAGCAGTGATCTAGGCAATTCTCTGCTAAAATACTAGCATCTTAACATTAAATTTTGTCTCTATCAATAGCGGAGCTCCTGGAGCCATATGAGAGATTTGCTTAGAAAATTTATTTTTTTGACATAGAAGCATACTGGATCTCCTTCTCCACATGACATTTTTTCAGATAGTTATTATAATGTGCCTAATAAATTTTCTGACTTATTTAAGACTCTGAGGTTCTAATTTGACAGCAGGACGAAATGGAGAATGTGGCAATTGCCACAATGATTTGCTTCTATCATTACTTGTGGTCATTATTTAGAAAGTGTGTCTTACACTGAACTGAATAGGTTTGGATTCATGTTCTAGTCTCTTGCTATTTAATTATTTCATCCTTCCATTTAGTTCTTTTGTTTTTGCTCTTCTAAATAGCTCACTCCTGCTTGATATTTCCTCCTTCTGAAGGAATGAATGAGATTAAAGTAATTTTCTGTGAAGGAAGGCATAGCACACTTATTTCAAATGGTTGAAATTCAGTCTTTTACTGCACTTGTGTTGCAGACAGCCTATTTCTGATTTAGTTGCAAACAAATATCTACTCATGCATGCATTGTGGAGTCAAAGGCAGTCAAATATGAAAGGTGTATTAGTAGTGCATTAATTATTAATTTAACACAGTGGAAGCTGGACTCCACCATCTAGACTTGGCAGAATGAAAAGGAAGGACTTCCATACTATAATGAATTCACTCTTCCATTATTTCAAATAGCTAAATAACCTGAGTTGTACTTGGAGAATGAAAAAGGAGAAAGTGTGTGTCTGACCAGTTGCTAAAGAGGCTATCTTCCCTCATCCCCTCACTGCAACACTGCTTTCCCCACACATCACCTAAATTGTGGCTCTCTTTTGCTTGCTCTCCTCTCCAGGTGTTTTGCTTAAAATGTCACCACCAGAAAACATGAACTGTGCCAGTTCCAAGCCCTTCAGTGGTACACACAGAGACAGAAACCTGTTTACCTATGCTTATTCTCTAAGCTTGTTACACATTCAAGATGTGAGCAAGCCAAATTTGTTGCTGCCTTGCTCAGAAAGCTTGATAGATTGAAAGATAGATCTCTGCTGGAAGGCCGTACTCCCCAGACACTTTCTAGGTTCAGTTTTAGGGAGTTAAGCAAAATAGTATGGTAAACATCCAGTACTGTCAGCATCATTTTCCAGTATGTTATGTAGGGCATTTACATATGTACCACTATAACTGACTTTCAATAAATACGTTTCTGTTGGACCATGATTTTTTGTTAAACCACAACATTCTATACCCTGTGGCATGCAGGAGATCAGACTGCCTATCCCTATTGGCATTCTATATAACAGCCCATTCTCTTTTTCATTTCATATTTCAGCAGCAATATAGAGAAATTTTAAATCAATTAAGAACACGGAAAATGAAAAAACCCCAACCTCTCCTGAATACAGACGTGGATATCTGGCAAGCTATCTGGAAATGTAGAAATCACAGAGCAGATCGTAATGGTGGTAAAATATGTTTTGAGAGACAAAAAGATAGCTTATTCACAGTAGCTGATGCCTGGTAATGGCTGGCACAGAATATACAGAGACCCTTAGAGCAGTGTCACTGCCTGTTACTACCAGCTGCTTGGCTGCAGCCACGCATACTGAGAGGGACATAAAGAAAGAAAACCAGGACATCCTTCTCCTGTTGGAAGCATGGCTTATGTAACAGCAAAATATTTAAATTATTTTTAAATAATGCAGTAATAAAGAAATCTTTGTAAAGCACTCACAGCACAATGTATAAGCTCTCAAATGAATTGAGAGCTTATACATTGTGACAGGGCTGAAACAGTTCTCAGTATGTGTCTGCGTGCCTGTGGGTGATTTTGCAGAGCCTCACTGTGTAGGAGGAAAGGCCCAGCCTCTGGCTAAAGAGCTCCCTCTAGTCCTGCATGGAAACCAGTGCGCTCCACAGAAAAGACTGCTCCAAGAATGAGCTCATACTGCTTTCCTGTCAAAGGAGCTTTCAATATGTGAAGTGCTTGTAGATGATGAGAACTAACAGCAGCAGAGTCAACATTTTCAAGTATGACTGCTAAGGGAGCCCTCTGTGTAGGTGACCTAAATATGTGTAGACTTATTTTTACAAAAAACTGCTATCCTTCTCAGTAACTTTTTTTTTTTAATGGGTTGCCTGCATTTTACAAGAAAACCATCAAAGGACCAGCTTATCAGTTTCTTGAAGTGTCATCATTTCTGTAAACTTTATCAATTTCTTTAATAAAGGAACTTTTACAGAGAGAGAAATAAAGAAATGGAGTCCTTCTATTTTTCAGGATTATGCAGCCCATCTTAGGTGCACTTAGAAAAGTTCATGCAAATTACTAGAAAAGTTGATAGAAGTTACTAGAACTTGATCTAAAATTAATTTTATCATTTAATTCCTGCAGGCAATATGCAAAGCCCCTGTAAGACTTGTATTACACCAGTTGTAAACTGACCTTCAGTTTTTTCAAGTTCATATTTGACATCTGCAATGTCTTTTTCCAGACGGCTAATCCTCTCAGCATGTATTTTGCTTCCGACATTTTTGTACTCCAACCAATAATCTCTCTCACGCTGCTTTTCTACAATTTTTTTCTTCGTTTCTTCAATTTGGGCGCGCAGATCTATTAAAATAACAATGTCAAAACTGATGTATTGAACTGATAATTCTTACTATGTCAACTTCTTTAAGAAAGGTGTTTTCATAGGGAATGGGAAAGGAAGGGGGATTCTTCCACACTATAGTACATTGCAACCTGATGGCCTTACACAGTTTCAAGGGCCACTAGCATTGCTGAAAACAGCTTGATCTTATTCTTCCAAAGAGAGACAAGAGTTCTCACCAAAATGTTGTAACCAAGGTCACGTGTCTCCCACAGAGAATCGCAGGGATGGCAGCTGGAATTTTCAACACTCAAAACTGGTCTTTTTTCCTTCCATCAAAAATTTTTTATTTTTAATCCTCAGTAGATCCAGTGCTTAGGACTTTCATGAGTTTCAAAAAAGAGGAAGCCTCTGTATTTGCACAATACTATACATCATTTGGAAGGGACAGATTGATTTATAAGCCCTCCACAATCTCATACTAAACTGAGAGAGCCCAATTTTGGGAGAGGAATAGTATTGATACTTTTTATACAACAAAGAAGTTGAATCTCTACTTAAATTGCAAAACAACATCAACATATACTTAATCCCAAGTGTGTAAACTGCAAACCACACTTCCCCTGCACACAATATACCTTCAAGAAGTTGTTCTTTGTCCTTCACAAATTGGAAAACTGCTTTCAGTGACTCTTCCACATCATCCCTGGTTACAATCCCCTTCTCATCTCGTTTGTTCTCCTTTTCTTCTATTTGCCTTACTAAGCGGCTGATAAGCAACTTCTGCTCTTCCTTCAGAGCAACATTCTAAGGAAGAAGACACAGCTGATGTTAAAATGTTTTCAGAGTGAAAAATTTAAGAAAAAAAGAAAATCTGGCCTAGTGCCAGATGAAATGCAAGAACAACCTGTGCTTCATATTCTGAAAGGTTAGAGCAGAAGGGAGAATTTGCAAGGCTCAGATATTTCCTCAGTAACTTCAGACCACTGGAAGGAAATGAGAGACAAATGACAGCTGTACTTGGTACAGCCCACCAATAATCCTCCATTGCCTGCAAAGAAAGGTGCTTGCAGACAATTTAATAACAATGTTTCTATGCAGGAGCTGTTTGCTCCATGTGGATATTCCCCATGAGAATGTACCATCTTCATACAGAAAAATCATGAGACAATCAGGTCACTTGCATATAGCAAAGAGTCTTGTCAGAGCTGAAATTAGTAATACGTCCTGAAACCACAACTGTGATCATAACCCCTGGCCACAACCCTCTCTAGTGGCACTCAGATTGTTTGAAATCCAGATTGTGTATGTTTGCTCCCAAAGGATACCACACAGGAGCAAACAAGTGGGAAGTGAATAACAGTGAGTAGGCAGTGGAAAGAGTCTTAAGCATTCTTCACTTCTAGGATTAACTCTAAACCACTCACAAACATTAAGCAGGAAATAAAGAATGGAGCTCAAAGCACTGTCAAAACATGATTAAATTAAAACAATAGCACTTCACCCATGCCTTAAAGTACCCTGCTCAATCCAAAACATGGAGTCCTTGAAAGACCATGAACTAGCAGCAAATTGGGGGAATAACTGTAGAAAGATAGGCGGGAGTACAATCAGAGGAAACTAGGAAGTTGTATTCACATCCTAACAGAAGTTGGATGGTAGGGAAATTATAGAGTAAAATGCAGCTGCTACTATCTGAATGGAATGCAGCTGGCATGCTCGAAACCCATTCCATGATGATGCCCTACAATCTGCAACCACAGCCCCTGCTAAGGGCATGGAAGAGAGGGTGGAACAGGGTGGAGACACCGTGGCCAGGCTGCATAGAAGTCTTTGCAGGGAGGGGAACTCAATGGCACTGTAGCTGACAAACAGCACAACACCTGTCAGCCACAGGAGAGAGAAGATGATGAATAACTAGAGTCACTCAAGCTCTGCCTAAACATAAAGAAATAGTATAAAAGTAAGTTAGAAATGGGGAGAAGTTTGGGAAGTCCATCGTAACTGTTGGGATCAGTCGTGAGGCTGAATCTGTCTTCTCCCCCACAGAGGGACACCTATTGGGTTAGAACCATGCTCTGTGGGCACTGAATACTTTGGATTAGAGCTTGTCTGTGTGTTACTTTGATATGCTTTTGCAGAGAGATACTATCACTGAAAATCCTCAAAAACTTAATCTAACTTTATGTTAATAAAGAGCATTATTCCATTAACTGTCAGTGTGAGCCCTTCACAGGCACTGGGGCTGTCAGTAACACACTCAAACAACTGGGGAGACCCACAGAGGGGTCACAAAGTGGGGATACCAACTGAGGGGTCTCCCTTATGCTGTTGCTCTGTGTCTCTGAACAGGGCAGTTGAACCACCCTCCAATGCAGCAATATAACCCCAAGAGACATAAGACCCAACAATAATCATAAAAGCCTTCAGATGCCTGCAGAAAGAAGAGCAATTGCCACTTCCAGTGACAGTTAAGCCACAAATGAAACACCATCCAGGCTTCAAGACTGCAAGAAGCACCACAGAAAGCTAAACAGATGGATGCTTATAAAAGCAGGGCAAGCATCAGTATGGCAAAGACAGAGAGGTGCTGTTTCAATGTTTCACTGCTATGAAGTGCAGGCTGCAACATGATGCAGAATAAGGATTTTTTGAGCATTTTCAATTAATTTCAATGGGTGACTCTCTAATATCTGTTTTCAAAGTTCACTGCTCACAGTTACCAGATGCCACATTATGGCTGTTTATATACAGCTCATATACATGGTTCTTTAAAGTGTCACGCAGGTGAGATCAGTAGTTACACAACCTTGTTCTAAAAATTACCCAAACAATTCTTAATCCATGAGAAAGTGTGTCTTCATCAATCAGTGCTAGAAATCACAGCTAGCAAATAGCATGATGGTCTTTCTCCCTTATTCAATTTTTATTGTAACTACGTTTGCAGCAATAACTAGATTCTCACAGAAACCCGTGCAATTGAATTACCTCAGAAGGATTCAAAGAAGTTCAGCAATTCTCAGCGCTTGGTTAGGTCTGCTAATACTACCAACAAAAATGAAATTTATACCATTTATTCTTCATGCATTGAAATACTGAAGAATATTTGTAGGACTGGTTGAAAGGCATATCTGACGTACTGCAGGAAAGGTACCTACTGAAAGGTGGCTTGCTGTCCTGTGCTTGCTGCAGAGAAAAATGCCAAGGAAGGGAAACAAAGCTGATAAAAGGACTAAAGCACATGTGTGATGTGGAGCAGCTGAGGATGTTTAGTCTGGAGAAAAAGAGGCTCAGGTGGCACCTTATCTCTCTTTAAAACCACCTGGAATGACTTTGTAGCCAGGTGGAGATTGATCTCTCTCTCCTCCCATGTAACAAGTAACAGGGCAAGAGAAAAAGAAAATTGTGCCAAGTTTAGATTGGTTATTAGGGAAAATTTCTTCACTGAAAGGGTGGTGAGGTATTAGAACAGGTTGCCCAGGAAAGTGGTGGAATCACTATCCCTGCAAGTGTTCAAAAGACACATGGATGTGGCACTTGTTGGCTGCTTTAGTGATGAACACAATGGTGCTGGGTTAAACAGCTGGACTTGATAATCTGAGAAGTCTTTCCCATCCTTAACAATTCTGTGATTCCATTCAATATGTAGGTGGTTATAAGGATCTCTTGTGCATTGGAAAGCACCTGCACTGAACTCACTTTACCTTAATGCTCTGTCCTATTCTGTAATGTTCTACTCCTGCAGCTTCTTTTTAGCATGTTAGATTTAGGACATGTATGCTATATGTCACATTTAATTCAGGTAACACTTTAACTTTCAGCACATAACATGACTCACCAACTCTAGTTTCATTGACTGTAACAAATGCACTGCAACAACTAATTTTAAAGTATGTAGTATTCAAATTGAAAGAACAAAACTGAATGTATGAGTAAGAACACCACAAATAACATTTGTTGCATAGTCACCTTTTTAATATCTTCTTTGAGCTTTTCTTCCAATCCTTTCAGATGAAACAAAACCCATGCAATTGCTGTTTGTTTTGCCGCAATGCTATGAAGAGAAAGTAAAGAAAGAGACATTCTTACAAAAAATTAGAGAAAGGAATGCTATTTAAGCTAGATTAAATGTAAATAATACCAAAATGTTTATTTTCATATCATATTGCTAGACTCATTTAGGTAAATACCACTGTCTGCTTACTATACATAAATTATTTCCCACATACATCTGGGCCTGCATGTTAGCTTGGATTTCATAGCCCTACAGAGCAGCAGACTCCCTGGTTATATTGTTCCTGTGTAGCCTCCTGAGAGGCTGGAGCTGGCTTGTTCATCCTGCATGAGGTTTAGCTGACCTCTTACACAGGTCACCTTCAGGACAAGGTAATTCATGCTCCAAAAAATATTGCTCTAGCACTCTGTACCTCTGTTCCTAGCATTCACTCATCATGTGGTGCAATAGTATTGCAATTATCATAAAACCTTTTATTCTTTTAACAGTTCTTCTTCCTTCAGTTTTTAGTTTGAGGGTTTGGAGTGCTTTTTTGTGGTTTTGGGAGTTTTCCCCTTCTCTGTTGATTTCAGCTGTTTCAAAAGAAGATAATTCATTTCCTAGTTAATTTGCTAAGTTTGGATCACTGAATCATGCAAATTGCAGTTTACTAAATTTGCATCCTCTGGTGTCAGTGCATTGTGTATTGGTGTCAGCTCCAAGGTATTCTTCAGGTTTTGTATTAAGCAGAAGGCTATTAGTTAGAGAGAGAGACTAGACCAGGGTACAGTGGTCATGGCCACAGCAAAAGCACGTTGTAAGATTGTTGTTCCTAAGAAATGCTGAAATGGAGAACTTTAATGAAAATGCAAAATAACAAACTCCCTAGGAACAGTGACCATTCTTCAGTGCAAGGAAATAAAAAACAGGAATCAAAGTTATATAAATCCTACATACTCAATAAATCCTAAAGTGGAATGTGACAGCTATTCACTTACATGATTATCCACCTTTGATCAGTCAAGTAGTACAGAGAATTTACAGAGGTGAAGAGAAAGAAAGGAAGATTAAGAGGGACAGATAAGAGAGTGGGAGAAAGATAAAAACAGCAAGAAGAATACTTTTCTTCCCTTTTCCCCCTTCTGTTGCTGTAGAAACTACATATTCCATTTCAATGAAGCACCGATTTCAGTGGAAGACTCCAGACAAATGAGTCATTTGCTTGGATATTAGCATATGCATAACAATAATTTTATCAGAAAGTGGTACAGTTTTTTTCTCAGCCCAGTAATACAGTTTCCTTATTCCTTCACAAAATAGGTGAGTTAGTTTTGGACTTTTCAGAAGGTATTTATTTGTGATATGATTCAGGTAAATCTAGGCTATTTCACTATGGAAAATTGTACTCTGTGCTCTGTAAAATGAAACAGGAAAATCCCACATAAACCCTGTGAACTCATACAGCTGTCACTACAACTACAGGAGCATCCTTTTTAGTTTGCTTACTCCACTTGTCATTTCCACACCGAAGCACTACTCCCTGCTCCCTAAATGCTGATAATTGTTGGATATTGGGTGTTCCTGAGGTATTTCCATTTCAATTTCTGTCTCAGATAAAAGTCATGAAGCTTATTTTTTCTCCTTTTAATCATTTACTCAAGAGACTAGAAGTCAAGTAAGTTGAACAGGTTTGTAACTGCTTCAGATATTTCCCCCTTGGCTCTTATTTTCCTCTGCTTGATTTTAAGTGACCTTTCATTTATCCATCTCTTACTTTCAAAATAAAACTCTTTGTGCTCTGCTCTCAGCTGCACCAGGGAAGACAGCAAACTGTAGGTCTTGAGGTTCTGGCTAGTGACAACAATCTCCACGAACCCCAAGGAATCCTAAAAAATACAGCCAAATGTGATCTTGCAACTTCAGCATATGCTGATCAAAAGCTTACTACTAACAGAAAAAATGTCAGGGTTTTTGGTTTTAATATTTTTTCCCAAGTTATAGCCTAATGGCATAAAATTTCTGACCCATGTAATTGCTTTCTTACAGCTACAGTTTAAAAAGTGAACCTTTCTGAAATAGCCTCAAAACCTCAAATCAATCAGCTCAGGCTCCAAATTGTGTAAGTTGTGTTTGTTATCTGCTTTCTTTATTCACATATTCTATATGAGTAAAAAGTTAAAATATATTAAACCTACTGATAATCTAGTAAGGATTCGGGTAAATCAGATTCAGGCTCTTGAACTTGCTCTTCTGGTTTCTTCTTTTTCTTACTCTCTTCCATTTTTTTGGTTTTTTTTTTCTTAATGTGCTAGAAGTGAAGGAAAAAAAAGTATAGAGATGAATAATTTACAAAACATTGTGTGTTCACTGGCATTTGTCACTTTTGACAAGCTTGTAACAGTTCTGAAATAAAAAAAAAACAAACTGGGTTTTTGGCAGCAACAATCCTGCCCAGGGGTAGCACTCAAGCCCATATCTCTATACATATACACATATATATGTGTGTGTATATATACACATATATATGTAATGTATACCTGGGTAGATACAGTGGGCTCTATCACCATTACTTATTGCATCCCCTGCTACAGGTTGTAGTTTACATTCTTGCAAATCAAACCAGAAGCTGCTCCTTTTCCAGTCCTTTGTTTCTTTATCATGTTTGTTTTATCAAGTCCACTTGTTCACATGCCTCTCTTTCCCTCTCCTTCTGTTCTCCTAGCACTATGAATGTCTCCCTTTCACCACAACTGTGATACCAGTTTTCATTGTCAGAGCTGGAACAAAAGCACTTTCTGAAGGGATATGCATGTCAGCAGTATTTCCCAGGCATGCTGTCACAACCACCAACCTCAGAATTCAACTGACAATGAACAGTTCTGCCATGGAACTGCTAGCATATATTATACAAAATAAAAAATGTCACAAAAAAAGGCACTTAAAAAGATTCCTCCCTTTTAGCAGTCATATAATCAAATTTTATAAACCAAAATAGTTTATATAATATAGAATATTTTATTACTGAATGAGTAGAAACACTGTATATAACCTGGTTTTGCATTAAACTGCTTCTCTGAATTTAAATTTTGAATTTTACAATAATAGGTCAAATTGATTAAAACTTGTTCTGTGACTAAATACAGCAGGCTGGATACTTTTTCCTATTAAAATGAGCAGGAGTAAACAGGAAAAAATACCAGTAAAAAGCCACAGAAGCAAGCCTGTAAAATCAACGGAATGAAGTGAAACTATTGACAGATGCACTGCAATCCAAACACTGTCCTATGCCTTCTCACCACACTCGCCATACCCTGAAGCAAGGCCATGTCAGCTTTCTGTATACAAAACAACTTTCTATCCTATTTCATATACAACCTTTGCAGTTTCCAATTCAGTACAATATTTTTTTCATGAAGCTTCCAAAAATCCTAAGGACATGGCTATTGTAAGACCTGAGATTTAAAAGAAACCAAACAAACAAGTGAATTAAGAAAAAAACCTCACTGAAGCAGGAAGTTGGGTACTTTGCTCCTCCTAGACTCCTTTGATGTTTCCAAAACAAGTGCACAAGTGCAGGATACACTTGTTAAGTGTAAAAAAGAATCCATCACACTTCCTCAGTGCAGAATTAACTGGACTGCTATTGATTCCATTTCCACTTGAGCATTTGTTTTACTGATTTTTCTCAGAAACTGAAGATCACTAGAGCACTCCCTAAGGCTTTCTTTAAATTGTTTCTGTCTCTTAAACTAAATGGAAAATCAAATTCCCTGCTGAAAACTGGATACAAACCAAAAAATTTTGAGTAGAAGTATTTTGCAAAGGCTTAGAGTGTTTTTGGTTTTTTTTTTAACTACAGACCCAGATGAGCTCCAGTGACATAATTATGAAATTATTCCCAAGTAGAGAGGAACACGAAAGCCTCCAAGTTGTAAAAGGTGAAAAAACACATGCTACAATAAAGGATTTTGCAAACCATAGAAAATACTCTCACATGAGACAGAGAAGAACATATTTAAGGGGACTGAGGATTGACTGCACATTTGAAATGCACAGGAGAATATTTACAAAAGTAAAGGTCTATTTCTTCTCCCAAACAAATAGAATTGTGAGGCTCTTGACTGACCCCCTTTATAAGCACCAGCACTGTCTCAAGCAATAACTTCACTACCATTGCATCCTTAGAAGGAGCAGGCAGTTTCCTGACACTGCACCCCAACTACAGTGACTTTCCAGACACTCTTTACAGACACCACCTGTACAGCAGCTCAGCACTCTCATGAGCCCAATCATTATCAATAACACCATCCAAACTAGCACTTGCACTCACATAATAATCCCTGTATATCGAGCAGCTGCACTACCAGAAGCCTCCACTCCCTCAGTTCCCAACATTTATGGACTCACAGAATACACTGAGTTGGAAGGGACCTGTCAGAATCATTGAGTCCAACTTCTGGACCTATGCAGGCCATTCCAAGAATCACACCACGTGCCAGACAGCATTGTCCAAACATGCCTTGAACTCAGCTTTAGGCCATCAATCCTCTTGGATCCTCTCACTGTTTACTAGGGAGGAGAATGGTACCAGCCCCCACCATGAGGAAGTTGCAGACTTTGATGGGGTCTCCCCTCAAGTCTCTTTTTCTCCAGGCTGAACAGACCAATGACCTCAGCCACTCGTCATATGCCTTCCCCTTAGGGCCCTTCACCATTGTTGTGGCCCTCCTTAGGAGGCTCCCCAGTAGCTTAATGCCTTTCCTGTGATGAACAAAACTGCACAGAATATCCAAGGTGAGGCACCCTAGTGCAGAGCAGAGGGGAAAACCCCTCCCTTGCGTGACTGGCGATGCTGTGCCTGATGCACCCCGGAACCCACTTGGCCCTCCTGGCTGCCAGGGCACTGCTGACACAAGTTCAGCTTGCCACTGACCAAGACCCCCAGGTCCCTTTGCACTGCCTGCCGTCCATCCTCTCACTCCCCATTCTGTCCGTATATACCCGGGGCTGCACCGTCCCAGGTGCAGAATACGGAAAATCTATTACCTCAGTAATGGAGGTACAACGCTACAACATGGTGCAGTCACACTGCAACCCCTTTCCAATCTCCAAAGCAGCCTAACAATTCCCCCTGCCCTCAATCCGTCCCTGGCTAACACTTCCCCCATGTCCCTTACACTATTCCCCCAGCCCCCTTCACCACCAGACACCTCAGTGGACAAAGCTGGGCCACCCCTCAGCGCCTCGCTGCCCGCAGGCACCAAATCCCGCCGGCACTGTCACCCTGTGCCGCAGCCCCCCGCCACCCCTTCCCGCCACGGCCGAGAGCTCCCTGAGGCAGCTTCCTGAGGCAGCTCCCCGGCCCTGCCCGCGCCCCTTCCGCGTCCCCCCTCACGGTGCCCGCGCCCGGCACCCGGCCCGCACCGCCCGCTGTCTCTGCCTCGGCCCTGCCGCGGCCCCGGCGCACGGCCAGGCCCTGCCGCGCGCCCCGCCCGCCCGTCGCCATCGCGACCGGGCCGAGCGCCGTGGGGGTCGCCGGCGCCCTCTGCCCCGGGAAACGACAAGTACGGGGAAAAGGCTGGTGGACGGGCTGGGTTTCGCCGAAATGCGGTGCCAGGCTGAAATGCTGAAGTTGTAGCTCTCGTCAAGAAAGAGACTGTGTCCCAGCTCTGTAGTGGGACAGTGCTGCTCACACGGAATGTGAGCAGGGCCACCCATCCCCGCAGAGCTGCTCTCTCCGGAACCGGCTCCCTGTGCCCAAGGCACTGCGATGGAGCCCTGGGTGGCTCCTGTACTGCAGTAGCAACAGCCGAACTCTGCGGCCTGTGTCCCCTTCGCTCCACATCGGAGCAAAAGGCCTTGGCCAGCGTGTGGCAGGGCTCAAGAAGGACTCAAGACTCCAAACAAAGGTTGGAATCTGATCCTGAACTACTTCTGCTTCTCTCCTCCTGGCCTGTGGTCTGCAATAGATTTTGGATAGGCTTTGGTCATTTCCTTCCTTCATAGGATATCAGTGCCTGAGCCACGTAATCCTGGGAGCCGTACTCAACCACAGAAATAAATTAGCACAAAAGTGCTGCTGCCTGCATTCTTGGGCGACATAGAATCATAGAAAGGCTTGTTGGAAGGGACCTTAAAAATAATTTCACCCCTTGCCATGGGCAGAGACATCATCACTAGTTCAGTTTGCTCAGGGCCCCATCCATCCTGGCCTTGGACACTTTTAGGGATGGGGCATCCACAACCTCTCTGCGCTCTCCTCTCTTAGTTAAAAACTATTAATTCACCCTTGTTCCATAACTATCTGCCTGTATGAAAAAAGTCACTCTCCCTCTTTTTTATAAGCCCCCTCTATGGACTGGAAGGCTGCAGTGAGGTCTCTCCATAGCTGCTTTTTCTCCATGATAAATATTCACATTTACTTACTTTGTTCATAATTCTTGGCCATACCTGTGGGAATTTGTGTTTTCCTTTGACAAGTCCTGTTTGACATAGTAGAGCAGTCTCTGTAATTAAGACATGTTCATTAAAGTGAGCACAAAATGCTTTTAGTCTGACAGGCAGAGATCTGTAGCCTTGCTGCATAAGATAGTAAATTTAAAGATGCCCTGGTCACTGGCAGCAGGATTAAATTTGTTTTGTTTGTGAGAAAGAGAAGGAAAATGATCAGGCCCTACTCATACACATTTGATCTTTGAAGCCCTTCCTTTCATGGTCATTATTATCAAGCCAGTCTTTTTCTTACCACAGAGAGCACTGTATAGAGTAATATAAATTATTCACACTCTTTCCTTTTACAGTTTGCACTTCTGGTATACATGTTCTTGTAATATTTTAAAATAAATTCTAAATAATTCTAAAATATTTTTGAAGACTTACTTTTTAAAGACTCTGCAGTCCTTCATGTATGAAAACAGGGACCTTTGATGGGCTGAGAGCCCTTGTGGTGCACTTGTGGGTAGCCAGGCAGGGTATTTCTCAAGCTATTGCTCTCACCATTTTTGCTCTGCCTTCCTTTGTGCATGTAGAGAACTTTTAATGGCATAACCTAAGAGCGTGGAAGATTTTAAAAGAAGAAAAAAAGTTACCTTGATGCCCAGGAACCAACTGAAGGATGAAAAGCCATCTGGTCAAAGCCACCTAGGAAATGTCACTACAGCCATTAAATGAACAACATCAGAGTTAGCTGTGATTTGGGTTAGTTCATCAGAGAGCAGCTCAGTGTCAAAGGCAGTTGAGTGACAGGAGGAAACTGGAGGAGGAAAGCATTATCAGCTCAATTTGCATCAGTGGAAGCTCCTGTCTCTTCAGCTAATACCTGTCATTTTGTAACCACACCAAGGCACTCACTAATTTTTTCATTATTGGAAAAAGATGGCATGATTTTCTTTTTACTTTGGGAAATCACTAGAGAGTTAGACATGCTGAATGATGGGGTGAAGGAAGAAAGGTGATCCACTTTCTGAATCTGATAGCAATACTACTGTACAAAGATACCTGCAGACTTCTTTGGTTTGGGTCTTTACCCTGAAGATGCCATAACACTCTGTTGCTCTGCAATCAAAACCATGCTTAAATCTTTTGATTCTGCTGAGAACTTAACAACTCTGTGACTGTGTCTGGGGAACACAAAGACGAGGGTGGGTAGAGTATACCCTTCTGTGACTAATTTTTGTTCTCTTGCTGCCACCTTGAGAGTGTTCAGGCGCAATTCACTTGAAAAACAGCTGGCCTGCACTTACGTAAAATGAGTGGATTCTTCAAATCTGCTGAACAGCTGCAGAGTAGCTGTGGGGACAGGCTGGATACTGGGTGCAGACTTTTTCCATCTGCAGTTACTGAGGAATGAGTCTGAGGGTCCTTCAGGTATTCCATGTTCTGTCCATATCTTCAGTTTCTTCTTTATGAAGATATGAGCTGGCAACTGGTCTGAGCTGAGACAGTCCTTAGACACATAATCTTACAGATTTCATCTGAATCCATTCTAAGAACACATCACTAAATTAAATTTGAGCAGGAGAGCTCACCGACGTATTTTAACAGACACAGCACACACCACATACACAGTTTCTCAGCAGTCACTTCTCAGAGTGCTGGAGACCTCCACGATTTTAGCACCAAGGAGCTGCTTTTTTTTAAGCTTGGGTCCAAAGTCCTTGGTTAGAGGGGGAATTGTTTTGGGCAGTGGGTGCACCAGACCCGTCAGTTCCAAGTCTATCCAGCAGGGGTCAAGAGCACTCCCAGCTGGCAGCTGATAGAGCCTGCCTGGTCCTGAACCGCTGTTGGACGCATTCCTGCCTTTTTCTTCGGGACTGCTGCGAGAGGGGGGGAAAGAGGTATTTTACACACGAGAAAAGGATGCTCCATCTACGAAGAGTGTCAAAAGGGCTTCGCATCACTTCTAATTAAGTGATGTTTCTCCATCTGCACTGAACAGCACTTTAATGTGGGTTTGAATAGATGCACCTTAGTATACTGCATTGGGGTGAATAAACTGGATATGTAGATGAGAGGTGATTGAATGAAAGTTATTGAGGGGAGCAAGCGACTTTTAGTCTTTCACAAGGTCTCCAATTCACTCTGATCTTTGTGAGCTGAATGTAAGCCTTATTAAAGACTTATTAAGCCAGAATTTTATTGCATAGTGCATGAAAAGCATGCTCTAGTCCTTTCCCCAAAATGGAAGAGCCACATATCAAATGCATGAAATTGAAAAGACATGTAATTGAGCAAGACTTCACACCAATGCTAGGAACACTAAATTTTCTCTAAAAATTGTTTCACCATATCTAAGTTTGAGAAGGAAGTGAAACATAATTTGTTGTTAGCAGGAAGCCTGGGCTGATGGTGTAGGATTTGGGGTGTAAATGGACTCGAGCTGGGATCAGAGTAGGGGTGCAATTCAAAGCAGAGCTGCTGCGAGCGAGAGCCGAGCCAGCGCTGCGGGCGGCAGACGTGGGCAGTGACAGCAGGGCCGCCCTCAGGGCACAGCGGTCCCACTCCCGGACACGCCAGAGGCTGAAATCCTTCAGCTCCCCGAACTAGAATTGAACCAGTTAGGTCAAGCACTGTGAGAAGAACGTGTGTAAGGGGAAAATAGCGGCACAGCAGCTCTCCCCATGCCGCGGTCGGTACTTTCACCCTGCTCGCAGAGGCACTCCGGCTTCGGAAATCGCCGTGGTGCCTGGCTGCTGAGGGGAAGGTCCTGCTGGAACACCCCGTGAAATGGCGGCATGTGTATTTTGTGCCACTAATTAAACAGAAAACCACTTAGAGCGGCTTCCTGAACAAATAGATGACTGCAACCTCTGTTATCGCGGCCCGTATCTACTCAAACAGGGGCGTATGTTCACACTTCTCGGGCTGCCTATCGCCAGGTAAAGTGAAATACTGATCATTGTCCCTCAAGGCAGCTCGTCAAGTCAAGCCGGCACTCCCTGCGTGGGCTGGTGTGAAGCAGGCACTGTCCGCTGTGGAGCTGCTGCCTCAGAGCAGTGCCCGCTGCCAGCCGACCCGAGCTGGCCCGGCCTGCGGGCCGTGTCACCGCCCCCGCTGTCAGGGCCCCGCCGGGCACACCCGGGGTGCCACAGGTGACACGGGCGGGAGGGCAGGCCCGGCCCGGGAGCGCCGCCCTGCTCGGAGGGGCGGGCGCCGGCATTGGCCCAGGGCGGCGGGACGGGCTCGGCCTCGCCCCGCTCCGCCGTCTGCCTGCCCTCAGACAAGCGGGGCGGAGGCGCGGGACAGCGGCTGCCCGCCGGGACCGGGGAGCCGGCGCTGTCTCTGGCCGGAGGGAAGGAAGGGGGAGCCGCGGAGGGGACGGAAGGAGAGGTGAGGCTAGAAAGGGCTCTGGGGTTGGGGAGCGGGAGGACTTGTTAATGGCGTGACTCGGAGTTAAAAGGAGTTGTAGAAGCCACCCGCGCTCGCGGTGCGGGGACAGCGTGCGAGCGAGCCGCTGGCCGCTGAGGAGCCCGGGCTGCCGGCCTTCGCCAGCCGGGCTGCCCCGCAGGGTGGGCTGGGCTGGGCTGGCAGAGCCCGCTCGCCTGAGCACGGCGCAGCGCTCGCAGGTGTCTCGCCGGGCCGGCCCCGGCTGTTGGGGCCGCAGGGAAGCAGCGCTTGTCAGCGCCTTTCCTCAGACCCGCTCTCGAGAGCCCCGCGGAGCCGGGCCCCGGGCCATCCCCGCTGCTGCTGCTGCCTCTGTCCGGGTGAGATCTGTCCGAACTTGGCTGCACGGAGCTCTTGACTCTGCTGGGATGGAAGAACACTCTTCATTGAAATAAGGTGCTTAGATCTCAGCTGAGAGATGTTAATGACTTTTTCGTAAATAGTAAACACTTTTAATCTCAAAACAGTGAATTAGTCGCATCATTCACACTGTCTCTGGAATGATTTGCAAGATTGGACCTGGCCCTAAAGTTTAATGCAGCCAGTTGTGTCTTTCCTATGTGAGTGGGAAAATCTTCTGTGTGAGCAGAAGACTCTG